CAAGAAAACATACTATTACGTCAAGTGTCTATTACGGTGGCACAGATGTGACACATGGGTGTCTTTATTTATCTTGTTCACGCGAGATATTATCTTGTTCCCACAAGATATTATCTTGTTCCCACGAGATAATATCTTGTTCCCACGAAATAATTATCTTGTTCCCACGAGATAATATCTTGTTCCCACGAAATAATTATCTTGTTCCCACGACATAATTATAGCCATTCAGAAGCTGTAAAATGGTATATAGCAGTTACTTCCCCTTATTTAGTTGAACATTTACTTGATTATATATACATTATATTCATGTATAACCATGTAGGTTGATCTTGAAAGTGCCACACTGTAGGGACATACAAAACCTTAACTACCAATTACTGGTGTTTAATAGCGCATACCTTCATCTGGTGACGCATTTGCGTGCAAACTGATTTGGGTCGACACTGGAGGGATACATGTAAGTAGCCTTTCAAAACTCTGTATTTATAAGGCGGTGGCCCCGCAGTGGGTTCAGTCCACCACGCGCGAATGAGTAATAATCAAATACAAATGTCTTAAATCAATGTAGCATGAGAAGGACCGTCTTCGCAGCACTTAAGAGAAAAGTCAAACCCATTGTATATGCTTATAACCATTGTCGAACCATATCCCCCGACAAGCAAATGCGTCATCCTGTCAAGGTCTGCACTCTTCGCTGTTGAATCAGTAGGTCGGATTTTAACTGTCAAAGCAGTTAACCCCTTGATTAGCTCACATGGTTTATACAGGTTAACTGCTTTGTTTGCCAGATAGAGTTGCATATTTTTCTTAACTTTTGACCACTTGACAGTAAAGGAATATGCAACTCTGTCCACGCCCCTATACCGTTCACAAACTTTCGGGACGGACACTTAGACACTCGGACGGACAATGGCAACGCTATATGGGGCACAAAAATATTGAAGAACACAAACAATGCTAAAACGTGTTGCTTTGGTGAGTTAAGAATGCCCCCACGCCCCATCCGGATCTGCAACTGGCCATGCACAATAATGTATGATACATTTTACGTCGGGGGTAAACCAGAGGGTAAAATCACGGGTTAGTTGGATAGACTGTTACAGTATCCAATACAATAAATAACAAATTAACATATGAAAAGTTGAGACATTTATCGTTAACCGATTTGGACATTAATGAGCACCTAATTTGTTGCGACATTTTTCGTTATTTTTTGGACATTTATCGTTAAAGGAGTTTTGGACATTTATCGGCGATTGAGACATTTATCGTCAATTTTTGGACATTTATCGTCGTTTGGACATTTTTCGATGTTTGGACATATATCGGCGCTACACCATGCCAGGGCATATTTTTTGGGTTAGAGCTTCGGGCTTTATTATGTGCAAAGAAGTCCCTCCAAACTTGTACTGGGGTTGCGTTATTGAACGCCGCCTTTCCTTGTTGATCTTGTTCATCATATTTTGTACAAAATCGAATCGGCATTGGAATCAAACAAATGACGTTTAACTGGTTGGCTATGGAAAATGGTGTATTTTCCGAAAATGTATACAATTTATATACAGAAAGAACATATCGGCGATCCAAACAAATGGCAAAGAAGTCCCTCCAAACTTGTACTGGGGTTGCGTTATTGAACGCCGCCTTTCCTTGTTGATCTTGTTCATCATATTTTGTACAAAATCGAATCGGCATTGGAATCAAACAAATGACGTTTAACTGGTTGGCTATGGAAAATGGTGTATTTTCCGAAAATGTATACAATTTATATACAGAAAGAACATATCGGCGATCCAAACAAATGGCCATGCCATGCGGAAATCTCCCGGATGTATTTCTTGGGTTAGGCTTTTGGGCTTTATATTGTTAAGGCAGTCCACTCTTTTGACCACTCGACCACGGCAAATAAATATATATGTTCCTGTGGGCAAAGACGTCATTTTGTATGTATGTTTATATTTCAGTTATGTTTGCTTGCATGTATAATGTATGTATGTATTAATGAACTCCGTTCCGTTAAGACTGTCGCTGTATGTGTATTTCCGTTAAGTCTATCCATGTTTGTGTATTCCCGTTTTAAAAGTCTGTACATGTATGTGTATTTCCGTTAAGTCTGTACATGTATGTGTATTTTCGTTAAGTCTATCCATGTTTGTCTATTTCCGTTAAGTCGGTCCATGTATGTGTGTTCCGTTCAGTATACTTGTATGTGTATTTCCATCAGTCTGTTCTTGTATGTCTATTTCCGATAAGACTGTCCATGTATGTGTAATTCCGATCATATCTGGACGTGAGTGTCTATTGAAGTTAAGTCTGTCCATATATGTGTGTTTCCGTTAAGTCTGTCCATGTATGTGTATTTCCGTTTAGTCTATCCATGTATGCGTATTTCCGTTTAGTCATGTCTGCTCTTTCGTTCAGTCTGTCCTTGTATGTGTCCATTTTCGTTTTGTCCACTGGTAGTCTTTTGTGGAGTAGCGGGGGGTCGAACTTGCAACCCCTTTGATTCGTGGACAGTTAATGTTACCACTGCACGACAGCTCTGATGTTTAACTGTAAACATTATTCATTCAATGGCCAACAAAAAGTTTATGCAATTTAATTTTAACACCTTAATCATTGTAGCCAACCCACGTGACTTTTGGGATACCGTAAAGAGAAAAAAGGTGATATTTTTATTAAGAAATTTGTTGTCACCTGCTGAATTGCCTGTAAATAAAGCACAGGGTACCCGGAATTCTAAGCTGTATCAGACGGTGTAACAATCTTTTGAAAAGCTTTTGTAGAATTTTACTGAAAAACGAGATTTAGTATAATGAGCCGCTATGATATCGTAAACACTCGTACAAAATTCTCCCAGATTCAGACGGTAAAGATTAAAGGTATTGGGCGAGATTAACTGAATTGACAGACAAATGAATGATCTCATATTCTCAAACTACGTACAAAGATTAAAGGTATTCGTCACTTCGGCAAGATTACTGAATAGACGACCTTATATTCTCAAATGTTTCTCTTCTTTTCTGGTATGCATTATATGAGGAAGATAAGTATGATATACATGTTATATAATATCAAACACATCTCTTTTTAATTTGTTCAAATATGTTTTGAAATCCAAGATGTACAACTAATAGTGATGTTTTATTGTTCCAGGATATATACGCAAAATGTGTAGTATTCGCAGTTTTTCCTAAAATAGAGGAAAACAGAATTCCTAAAGAAAGACCAACACGGCAAAAATGTTGCTGGCTCGGTTTGACTGAGTCTGTTCGTAAACGGTACTGGAAAATGCAATTTACCGTCCATGCCCCCTAGCACCTGCTTAAGCAGAATTCAAAATTTAAACACAAAAATTGTGAAATTTTGATTTTAAAAACATCCGCAGTGTGTTCATACGGCGGTTATCATGAAACCCACAATGTGACACAGTAGTGCCATTCCATGAATCAAAGCACAGAGGGCGTTGAATTTGTTTGGGTCTCAGAATGTCAGAAAGGTGAAGGTTGTGAGATTATATAAACCAATTTGTTTTTGTATAGTGCAGCCAATACTTTCCAGCGTTTTAATTGTAGTAAATTGGCTATAAGACTAATTGCAACACTGATATTCAATTCAATGTTTATTTGTCTTAAACAATTTGAAAAAAAATCAGTTGCCTTAACTGGGATTTGAACTCCAGACCTCTTGCTTCCTAAGCAAGCGCAAACTCCTCGGCCACGGTGAAGTTATTTGTTAGTGTACATAGAAAGGGAAGTAACCGCTTCAAAGCGGACTTCTTTCGGCATTTGCAGTTAACAGCATCAGGGTCTGAAATTTCCCTAACATTATTTGTTTGGTCTGACGACAACGGCGCATGGTCTCCAAGTAAAAGAGTACGTGTGCCCTTAACGAGAAAACAAATAAAGGGAATCTGACGTTATGAAGTTATAAAAGGAACATTCTGCCCCAGACACAAATAAATATTTACCTTTTTAGAAAGGGAAAACATGAATTGTTTAATGTTTAAATAATGATTTAATAGAAATTTTGATGCATAAGATAAATGTAAAATAATTTCCTTTAACTGAACTTATTCCCAAAAAGCAACAGATGAAAAAGATGGTTCAGGTATTTGGCCATTTAGTAACTTTTTTACGATATTATTTAAGTACACCTAAATTATAAAGCTTTTGAGAAAAATATCAACAACAACAACAACAAAACATGTCTGTGGTATAATGGCCTATGCCAAACCTCCGTATATTGAAAATATATTATATCAAATAATGGTTCTTCCCCATTTATTTGGAATCGCCCATGTAAATAAATATGTTTGTTTTTATATCCGTCCGGTTCTGTTAATATATCAGTCATCCAAGTAAAATTTATTTTCAAATGGCGATTAATATTTGAGCCGCGTCACGACAAAACCAACATAGTGGGTTTGCGACCAGCATGGATCCAGACCAGCCTGCGCATCCGCGCAGTCTGATCAGGATCCATGCTGTTCGCTTACAAACCCTATTAACAAGTAGAGAAACTGATAGCGAACAGCATGGATCCTGATCAGACTGCGCGGATGCGCAGACTGGTCTGGATCCTTGCTGGTCGCAAACCCATTATGTTGGTTTTGTCATGACGCGGCTCATTTGTTTATATATTTGTTGTTTATATTATATGGGAAGGAGAAAAGATTTGTGCTGTCGTTCTTGTAAGGGTAATCCGATATTGTTTTAATGTATAGAAAGTAGAAATAGAAAAAATATGTTCCTTTTCTCATGCTTCTTTACAAATATTTGACTAATTAAATTTACCAAAATAAAGTCATCTTTTCCCAAACTGCGACCAATACATTACAAGTGTGAAAGTATTATGATTAATTATATGAGTCATTGTACGAGTTAAAACATGACGATTACTGATTCGCCGATTGACACATTAACGTATGTTACGGAAAGACGTCATGACGTCACATGTCGCTACAAATATGATTGGACGGCGCATACATTGATTGTGACGTAATAAACAGAACGTAGTAACCGCTATTGAAATGTCGCACATTTACAGTGCTGACGAATATCTGCTGATAAAAGTTATTAACAGACAAATTACCTGCAAAATGGAAGAAAGTCCGCAAAATGATAACCGACGTGTAGCTAAAAGCACATTCAAAGGTAGGTTTTCAATTATTATCTGAATTATCGTTCAAAATTATTATTGTAAAAAGAAATCTCTCGGTTAGTTTATTTTTGCGTTGCATTTCTATATTTGATGATAAATCTTTTATGGACTTTAACGCCTGTTTAGTAGCAGGATCTTAAGAAGGGGTTTTAATGTTAAGTAACGATTTCATGTATGTGGTATTTAAATTGTACTTTTTTATACAAGTATTTAAGCATTTAATTTTGTACACTACAGACAATAGGTATTTAGCTTTAATAACTTTAAAATGATTTTACAATTGTTTGAATAATGTAGTTTTTTTTTTTAAAAATAGATAGGATTTTCGGGATACTTAAGAACTAGCACTATGCTTAGTTAATAGTAATTTGATTGCCGTGTAAATCGGATCAATCCTCAGGCATGTTACGCTGGACTTATCGATGAAAAAGCGGACTAATCTCCATACAGTGAAACCTTTAAATGACATTACGCTTTTTTTTTGTTAAGCTGAATTGACTACATATTTAAAATCAAAGTGCTGCAGCACTGAATGCGACGGACATGCAACCGGAGAGACATTAAGGCTTCTTTTAGAAAAAAAAACAAAAAAAACAAAACAAAAACAAAACACAAAATATATAACAGAGAAAATTTGTTCCATACAAGTTCGAGATTTGTAAAGCAATATATTTTGTGTCCCAAAATGATATAATTCAGATTTTCTACTTTCAAGGACTTAAATACAGAATGAAATTTATGCCTAAAAACTCTGGTCAAACTTGTAAATCAGTGTCCTTATCGATTTATTCTAAGAAATGATATGTAAATAGAAAAAAAAACTATCAACGAAATATTTCTAGAATAAATCCAGGCAAATAAACTTCAAACATAATACATTATACATTTGAGAATGCTATTTAGAATTGCTTCGTGTTATATCATAGTGGGCATACATACAATAAAATATAAGTCATTTGTATTTTTATTTCTCTTGGATATGTCTCATTAAAAAAAAAATTGGTTAAAATCATCAGCAATTAATAGTGTATTTCTTAGATTTTTTTTTATTTACAAGGTAAAGATAGAGGCCAGAGCACATCGTTTTTATTTTAATTCAAATGTCACTTAAGCACTACAGTGTTTAGTTGTCCTTTTCAACTTCACACTAAATTCCATTTTCAACTTGTTTGCTTCTTACAATTGTATAGAATTTCTAAAAGTATTGCATGTAATCCGCTGGTTTATTAATTACATGTTTAATGTGTACTTCCTAATCGCCTGTCCAAAAATCAGAACAGGTGAAGCAGAATCTATTTTTAGAATAGCGAAGGTTAACTCATATCATGACCTAGTAAAATATGTAAACAAACCACAAGAATCGGAAGTAGAACTGATATTATAACTTCCTTACCATGAAAGACTACATGGCGGTAAAGTGTTGTAAAACTCTCTTCTTACATGCATTTTCAAAAATAGATATTTATACTAACCATTGTACTGTATCTAATATATTAATAACTGCTGAATATTCAGCTTAACCCGCGGTATGAGTCACGAAAATAGTTCTTCTTTTATTAATGCGCGAGTAATCCTAGAGTCACGAAAAACTTTTGATTTGTTAATAATAATGTTTTGTATAATGTAGAAATATTTATTTCCTACTAATAATGTCTTGGAACTCAGAGGTTACACCTTTATTGTAGTATAATTTGCTGTCCTACTTTTTCGACAGCGGTAAATCGTTTCAGCAGTAATTTGCATATTGCGCAATAATACTACGGGACTACAACGTTTTTATCAATAATATACGTTCATATTTTAAATTGGATAACTTAATTTGAAATTGAAAAGGCTAAATATGGAAGACATTAAGATATCCAGACAAAGTATGGGAGTTTTGAAGGATCAAATTCATGTACTATTTCTTGGGCTGTTAATTGGTTTAGGACACATTGCGCGATTGTAGCCAACGAAATCCCATGTGTAGATGACTTAGCTCTGAACGCGCCTGAGGGCGCGTCCGTCGCAAAAAGTACTGTTACAGGTAAATTTCGCCGATGGATATTCAAAGATGTTTCCTTGGGCCCCATGAATTTCTTTATCGTTCTTGTGAAGTTTATTATAAAATGGAAAGGAATTATGGCAAATGTAAACTTGCTGTTCACTGTATATGTTTAAAAAAGTACTGTTACAGGTAAATTTCGATGGATATTCAATGGGCCCCATGAATTTATTTATCGTTCTTGCGAAGTTTATAATAAAATTGAAAGGAATTATGGCAATCGTAAACTTAGTTAGAGTTTTGTCTGTTCCCTCACTATATAACCTTGGATCAAATTACTTGTCATAAGGAGATGGGTTTCTAGTAGGGTATAACTTCTACAATGATATTAAGCTTTTTAACATACCTTATTTTTCTGTAGTTATAAACAGTGTAGTTATATTCAACTTACCTGATCAGACTGTTGTATTCAAAAGAAAATAAGATGAATGATCCATTCGTGTGTATATTTGGAAAATTTGTTCTCGTTCATTTCTAGGTATATATAAAACAATGGCCATATTATACAGTCCGCGTTTACTCCTTGGTATGTCTAGAAACCTGTTATACATTGATGCTCTTTTACAGTCCTCGTTCACCCTGGGTAATTCCTGGCTTTATTAGCATATAATCCGGTGTTAATGTATGCAGTAAATTTATGCAAATATGTATGCAAATTTCTTGGTATATACATTTTGAACCATTGTTTATCTTGATAACTTAATCGTTTCAAATATCGCGCTAAATAAAATACAGAGGACTTAATAGGTATCAATATGGTATAAACTTTAATAGGTACATCTCTGGAAAAATATTTAATCCGTCGTCAATGGCAGTGTTAAATAAAAAAAAGTTTCCAAAATTTTGATAACGCCAATGTACTTTACTTTATTTTTCTTTTTTTCTTACAGATATCCTCATAAGTCCAAACAATGATGACGTCATCATTCCAATGAGTGCGACGTTCGACAAAGCTGTATTACATATTGGTATAGGAAACGGATGTGGTATATTTATAGAGAAGTTTGGTGTGAAGAATGACAAAGAGTTGAAAACTTCAGTGAAATATGCCACCCGAAAGTTCACAGACGCCCGTAATCAAAGGAAAAACAAAGGTAAAAACCTAACAGCAAGTAGAAGTGAAGATATTGAGAAGATTGTAGATGAAAGTGGTGAAAAGTTTACAAGAGACATTCCAAGTATGGAAGACATTGATAGACAGCTGGCTAAGCTAGTCGACCATCTTTTGGTTAAGTCACCAATGGAAACCAAAAATGCTAAAAATACAATGTCAGACACTAAACCTCTGAAAGAAAACAAATCTTTAAATATCGAAAGTGACATTAGTGCCACTGATAAAAGTATTCAATCTACGATAGGGACAGTTTTCACATCTGACATCAAAAGTGACGAACGTCGAGAACCAAGGCATGAAAAAGAAATTGCTGAAAGTACTACACCAGGTTTTGATGATCAAACCATTGCTGGGACAAATATGAAGATTCATTTGTATAAGCTTAATGAAACACGTTTTAAAGCAGAGAAGACAACTTCATTTGAAACCATTGATAAAGCTTATCAGGAGGAAATGTTACAGATTGCAATTGATAAAGAGGCAGGTATCTATAAACCAACTAACATTTGGCCATCAACTGAAAGAGGATCAAGTTTTCCACTTGAAGAAGATATGCATGTATATCTGGATGAAGTTTTTGTAATATCAAAACGAGGCTCTGAAATGTTTGATGAATATGTATCAGTAACTACAGAGAAGAGAAGAAAAGGCGAACAACAAAGATGTATCCGAAAGCGATCCGACGAGTGCTGTTGTAGATATAGCGAAAGATTACACAGTTGCAGACAGCAATGTGTTTGAAGACGTTCTATTTAAAGACCAAAGTGATCCAATTTTATCTGATACAATTGTAGATAGAGCAGCCGATAACGACAGCGATACATCATATGTAGTCTCGGATACGTTTGGTAACTTTCTAGATATAGGGTCAGATGATTCAATGAGTATAGATATAGGTGCAGTTGATGAAATGTTAGAGAGTCACACACTAGATGATGTCTTAGTTATAGAAGCAGATGATGAAATCGTTGATATAGCAGAATCAGATGACGATATTGTAGACATCGAAGCAATAGTTCCCCAAGATGATCAAGATGAAGTGGACATAACAGCAGCCAGGAATGACATTGATGATACATATATTACATACAACGATATTGTTGACGATAATGATAACCTGTTTGGTATCATGGACATCTACATAAAGAGTGATCTACACTTCGACTTACACAACGTAAGTATTTTCCACACTAATGATTGATGTTTTATAAGTATAACTTAAAATGCATTTGAACGATTTTCCAGCAAATGATTTGATACGCAAGCACAAAGAACAAATAGTCACGAATACTAATTTTATTGTTATCAAGAGCTAAGTTCATTCATTCATTTATTCATTCATTCATTCATTTCATTCATTCCGTTTCGTTTCGCTTCATTTCGTCTATTTATTTATTTTCAGATACCAGCATCAGCCGAGCACCCTGACCAGAAGAAAGACTTTGGATATAAATTCTTTTCATTTTCAACATTCTTTAAATAATATAGTAAAGATTAGAAAAACATGTTTCAACTTTGTTATTTTGAAAGCGTGTAAACCTATTTAATTTCTTAGATAACCTTGATTCTATATCGATATTTAGAACTGTCAAATAAAATCTCTGATAAATTGATCATATTAAATCAAGATGGCAGAAATCAGCCAAAATACCTCAACGAGAAAAAATTATTTTGTTTTCCTTCTTAGATATAGATCGTCAGTGTGATTTCCACTTGTCAAACTGGCAGACAGGTTAAGTTCTTATTATATTTTACTCTTAAGTCAAGGTTAATGTGTTTATGTTCTACATTTATTTATAAATATACAATCACAACAAATTTCATCAATAGAATAATATAAGCCGCGTCACGACAAAACCAACATAATTGGTTTGCGATCAGCATGGATCCAGACAAGCCTGCGCATCCGCGCAGTCTGATCAGGATCCATGCTGTTCGCTTACAAACCCTATTACAAGTAGAGAAACTGATAGCGAACATCATGGATCCTGATCAGACTGCGTGGATGCGCAGGCTGGTCAGGATCCATGCTGGTCGCAATCCCATTATGTTGGTTTTGTCGTGACGCAGCTCATATCTGCCATATGTTGTAGTTCGGATCGAAATATCCGTGACGAGAGGATCCGCCCATTGGGGGGTAACGAGGCATTGTCTAGCTTGCGACTTATCTGGTACCCCCATGCCATGTGGAATTTACGGCATGGGTAAAACTAACGGAAACGCAAGTCAGATAGGCAAGAAAAGATGGTTCATATCCCTAATGATTCATTGCGATAGTGTGCGTTCCAAATTTAAAAAGAAAATCTTTGATAAAATGTATCATAAAGAGATATATCCAAACCCGTTTGGTATGTCCATGTATGTGTATTTTCGAATGTGTATTTTTGTGTCTTTCCTTTTAGTATCAAATGGATAGGCCTATATAGAAGCTCAGAACTCAACTATAAACCACATTCATAACCTCAAGTCATACAGTGGGGCCAACACACTCCACTGTAAAAGGCCTATCTAGTAATAAAATATAGATCACGGCGATAGCCGCAAGGCATACAGTTGGAACCACACAACGGTAAAAGGCCTATCTAGTAGGTCTGAACTCAAATATGCCCTGATGTATGCAATGGGGTCAACAAAACTCGCGGTGATAGGCATATCAAGTAGGTCTCAACTCAAATGTTAAGCAAGAGAATAGCCTCATTCCATACAGTGGGGTCCATACAACCCACCGTGACTTATCAAGTAGCATTATGTCTCTATCAAGCATTAGATATATACATGTATACTCTCATTTTAGGTAAGTTTTAGATTATCAATATGGAATGCCCTTATAGTTATGAAGCAGTCATTTTTCAAAACCTTTTCTTCCTAGGTTTGTAAGGGAAATCAGCATTGTTTTCATTGTTTTGACATTACGTTTGTATTTTAAAATGCAGGATTAAGACTAACTCCAAGAGAAGGGCGTTTAATAGAGATTTAAATAACAATTTCAATGTCATAGCGGTTGGAAACTTTACATGTTTTAATTTTAATTGTGAGTTGTTGTTTCGGTTTCAATGGATGATGCATAGAACTGTTACAGTTTTATAGAATTAAACTTCAAGCGTCTCTTTATGCCTAACTATGAACCCATTTAATGCCGAAAGAATCATTTTGATTATAACTGAAAAATAAAGCGTCTTAACGTTGATAGGCTGTCCATGATTTTTACATTAAAATGTAAAAAAACTGCTAAGTGAATTTAATTAAAATTATTTCTTTTACAATTTGTCTCCAGTTTTGTTGTTGTTGTTGTCGGAAATTGCACCTGGATGAGTCGCGTACTATACTGTAAACGTATGTCAACAATTCTTATACAGTTTTCTAAGTTTATAACAAGTATTTCGGCAACAACAGTGTCTAGTGAGTTGATAATACTGGATATAAATACATACCAACTTACAAGTTTGGATAACAATGTCGTTTGTAAGATGTTTACTGTATTTGAACTTTGGCGGTTTTAAAACTTTATTTACATTACTTGGAGGTCAAGACCGAAGTGACAACATTGGTTGGATTCCGACTTTTATAAGGTTCGATGTTTGAAATCTACCAATGAAACAATAGAAATCCGGAAATCCTCCAATGGACAGGCGGCCGGATTTCTGAATCTGAAATCTTGGATTTCAATGGCGGCCATATTGAAATCTCATATAAAATCTACATACGAAAATCATTAATATACAAAAACATGTAGTGAATACTTAAGGATTTCTGACCTTAATCAATCATAAATTTTACATAAATTACGTTCTTGGATTGAATTTGACTGAAATTGATATTAACAATAAGAAATCTTCAATATAAAATATGAAGTGACAGATTTCAAAGATGTCTGTCATTGGACGTCTGCTACACAGAAAATGTAAAGAGAAAATCAGTTTTCTGTTATAAAATAAGGTTAGTTTAACATTTCTATCAGCTTAAATTGCAAAGTCAATAAGTGTCAATACAGTGTTCCTTCAGATCAATCAGGTAAGTGAATCTTTTTCTTGTAGAAGTCAACAAAATATGAAGCTATAGGATTTCACCATGCCACTTGGATTTCATTATAAGTTTTGTTGTAAGTACATTTCATGCTAGAATGTCAGATCCTTACAATACAAATGCTAAGGATGACATATTTTTCGCCGTTATGAATGAAGTTGTAATTTCATCCACTGTTGTAAGAAAATAGTTACTGGTGTCCATGGTAAATTGTTTTATTAAGGTAAAAAATTAAAAATGTGATGGAAATGGTAGCATATGCAAGAAAAAAAAATATCTGACGTATGTTTGCGGGTCGGAATGGGCAGGTTCCAAATGGACGGATAATCCTATCTGAACGCAATAGAAATACCTCATTACGGTTTTTCGTTTGTTTAAACAGATCTAACCTGTTACGAACAATAAAGTAGGAGTGCAGAATCAGAACCATAATGTTGACTCTATACTTATCCTTTATATACAGAGCAAAAAATGTAATATCTAATAAAAAAATACTTGTCAATGATTTTTTCCCGGCATAAACAAGTTTTCTATTTGATCAATTTTTTTCGCTTCAGGGTATCTATAACTTTCTTGTATCTATAACTTTCTTACACTTGTATGAGGCACTATCACGTGCGTAAGAAAAGTGTGAATATCGAATCCCACATGCAAAAGAGATGAAAGGATGAGTGTCGAATTAGCACAGTGGTTCTACCGACGGTCCAACCGAAGCTTTTCCGACGGCAGAGATCAAGCTGCTTAAGTCTCAGTTGAAGTCAGATCAAGATTATCCACCTCCCGATATTGCACAACTTTTAGTTCGTATATAATAACGGTGCAATAAATTCAGTATGGAACTTACACGAATTTAATATTCTATTTATCACATACTCAAAATAAAGACCGTTTAAAGTGAAAAAAAAGCCATTTTTCATTGACACGCCTATAGTATAACGCTAACATTTAGCGCGCTTTACATTAGCGTTTGTAAACGCTAATGACGTAACGTCAAAATATATGCACGGCCGTGCAATACCATATTTACGGAGTCGCAAAATCGGCACGGGTGTGTGATAAATAAACATAACATTATATCTGATCGATATTCTAACTCTATAAATAAGAAATCGATACGATCATTTCTATTTATAGATTTTTGTAAATATATATAGTAAATATATATATGCAAAAATTGTTGTGAAATATCGGGGTGAGCCGTAGCGTAGTGGATAAATCTTACTCTTTCATCTGAGACTAAAGCAGCATGGACTCTGTCGGCGGGGATGCTTCGGTTGATCCGTCGGTAGAACCTCTACGTTAATTCGACACTCATCCTTTTTTTCTCGCCATTATATCATTCACTGGGTTTTATAATAAGAAGTAGTATTTTATTGCTCTTTGAATATAATTTTCGAACATTATTTCCATAAAACAACATTTTTAACAAAGGGCAAAATGGTTGAACAACAAGTTCTAGCAACATTAGTAACTGTCCTTCCCTTAAGCATTATAAGAAAACATGTTTAAACTCTATACACATGAGCAATTACAAATATTAAGACGGATACAAAAACAAAGTAGCAAATAGAATCCGACTTTAAATTTAAAAGAAAAAAAACAACATTTGCTTATCAATTTTTTAAATATTAAAAATAATAGTAATTTTCCTGCACTTGCAGTATGTGATGGTTTGTATGTCCGTAAAAATATGTAATTTATAAGGGGAATTAGAAGAATTAAAATTTGGACAACGATTGTTATTTTTACATGTACTTATTTGTTATTATTTAAATCTATGTGTATTATATATATATATTTTTTGAACCTCATGAAATAAAAAAACAGTTTTCCTCGTCTGATAAATTTTCTTTTCCATACAGGAGAGTACTTGTATTTAATGGATGAAAAGGGCGAGTGGAAGTGAAAAGTTGGAGTCTTTGAACACCAAAAAGTTTACAATTAAAAAAGAAATGTTCAGCATCCTCCTCGATATGGCAAAACTCACAAACAGGGGAGTTTGTTAAGTGATTTCTATACATATCATCATTCAAATTACCACATCTATTTCTTAAACGTGCATTAAAAACATATGTTAATCTTTCTCGAATTAAATAATTAAAATACTTTCTCGATATTTGTTTCTCTGTCACCGTAGACGGAACACACTTGCAAATTGGTAACCAAAAGAATTATAAAATAGTTTCAGCTATTGGAAACTGTGCGTGAAACTTACTTTTTTGTTTTCGTGCGACTTACTATCCAGAAATTGTTCGTTTTACTTACTAAACACTTGCAAAGAACATTTGTAGGCTACAAACCTTCGAAAATGTATTTTATATGGACTTCTACGATAACAGATGTCAATAAAATGATTGATTTGGTGTCTGAAGTGCAGACAGTAAGTCTATTTTCATTTATTTTGGTACCAAATTATATCGCTTCGTGCGAATTACTATCGCTGAATGTGAAATTTTTGCACAAATCAAACAATGTTCTCA